AGTGAGCCAAAAAAAAAAAAAAAAAGAGAGCACTGCCTCAGTTTCTTACTCAGGACACCTTTCCTATCAGAATTGGACACAAACCCAGCAGAGCAGCAGGGCTGAGTTCACAGACACGGAGAATGAAGGCAGGGAGGTGTTAGTATGGGTGGCCCGCCTCCTGACCCTGCCAGCACTGGGACTGAACAGGCAGGATAACCGGGGGGGAGGCTGTGTGATGCTGCAACTTCACGAAATAAAAGATTCAGGATGACAAACACGCTGAGGCTGAGAGAGAAAATACTGCCAGAAAGCAGCAGGAGAAAGCTACCTTCCCTCACACTGCGATAAGGCTGGTGAGAGAACAAAAAACTGGATCCCAGCAAGGGCTGCAGAGCCCAGAGCCAGAGCCCAGCGCTCACAGCCCAGGCTGCCACAGTGCCTGTTGTGAATGGCAGGAGGAAGAGCTTAGGAAATAGTCACCCCCTCCCCAGCTGTGCCCTCCAAGCTTCTGGCAGCCACTGTAGGGACTTTCTGAGCCGGAGGGTGCATCCAAACCATCGTGTTAAGCAATATAATTATTATGACCAAGATAATAATAAAACCACCTAACCTCAGACTCCATCCGCTGAGCTCTAAGAGATGGAGCACACACTCTAGGATGAAAACCAGAAGCAACTTCACTCATCACAAAGCTATGGTCTAATTACTTGTCTTCTGGTGAGTTTTGCTTCTCAGAAATTCTTTAAAAAATGAAAACATCAAGCTCACCAGCTTTCTTTCCTCCTTACCCCTTCTTAAAAAAATACATAGACTGTAAGTTTATTTAAAATGTAAATTAACCACATTGCCAGTGACAGATAACAAAGATAAACATTTATGCTAAGCTGCATTTTTCTTATCTCACAAGATTGTTTTACTCAATATCCTGAAAGCATGAAACAAAATTCAAGACAGACCATGTGCAGAACCTTTCTGCGGAATGGCAGACAGCTCGAGACATTTGCTGGCTTCTTCACTTACCACTTTTCACATTCAGGCTGCCTTTTGCGGTGTCTTTCCCTAAAACGTTCTCCGCTTCGCAGCTGTACTCCCCAGCATCTTCAAGCTTCACCTTGTTGAACTGCAGTCTGGAAATCTTTCTGTTGAAAAGTACAGCAGACATTTCTTACTCGATTGCTGACCAACCTCATGAAGTGACAACCATTCCTGGCCCTGGGATGCTGCCTGGAGGGTCACCCCTGCTTGACAGGATGGGCTGCCTGAGCTTGCTGAATAGGCACTCAAGCCTGGATAGGATTTGGACAAGTCCCTTCCCAAGATCTCCTAGGTGAACATCTCCCTCTGAACCCACTGCTCTGAGCATGCTGCGTGGTTTGGTCTGACACCTCCTCTCATTCACACAGAAAGTCTCATGAGGAGTTGAGGCCCAGGGTCCCAGCACTCCAGCACAGGCTCTCCACACTGGAAAAAAGCCAACTTAATGATGGACAGTGGGATCTGCCTGCCAAACAGAGATGTGTAGAGGAGATGCCTGTTCTGCACCTTCCTCAGCGGGGATGCTGAGCAGTCAGTGCTCCACCGGCTGCGTTCAGCAGTGCCACACACTCAGCACAAACACCCACGGCACCCAGGGGACTCACCCCTTGCCAGCCTGCACATCCAGTCCCTGGGTTTTGCCCTGGACATATCACTGACAGCTTCATCTCGACCTAAAAAAAGGGCAAGCACCTCGTGTCCCCCAAATCCACACTCCAGTGGACTACAGACGTGTGTGACTGAGCTGCACACCCTCATCTTACCAACCAGATGTGACTCGAAAGAGCAGGAGAGGGTGGGTGTGACAACTGCCCGTGCCACCTCCCAGCCCGTGCCACCTCCCAGCCCGTGCCACCTCCCAGCCCGTGCCACCTCCCAGCCTGTGCCACCTCCCAGCCTGTGCCACCTCCCAGCCCTGCTGCTCCTCCATGGAGAGGGAGAGCTCTGCGGCAGAGCTCTGCGGCGCTGCGGGAAGGAGCATCGCCTTTCCCACTGGCTATGACTCATTCCCTGGGATGGCTCTGACTAACAGGCAAAACCTTTTGTTGCCCAGTTTAACAGGGATCTATAGGAGCCTTCAACACACACTGAGTGCCACTCATGAGACCGCAGTGGGACTCCTGCTGGTTTACTACATTTTCTTCCATTTTAGCCATCTTATCAAAAGCCACCTTGTCTGCTCTTCTCATGAGAACATCTCTGTTTGCTTTCTACACCAAGCTTTTACCTCAGGTCTGTGTCACTTTATTTAGAGACTTGGAAGCGCTGCCAGCTTTAGAAAGAGCTCCCAGTGGCCGATGTTGCTGAAGGCAAATATAATTCCATTTATGTGGAAAATAATCATTAGCCTCGGACATAGCTGCAATGTTACACGTGTCATCTGAGAAGGACTTTTCTTTGGGATGTGAAAATCATTGTCCATAGGAAGCCCTTCACAGAAGCACACTGGCATCTTTTTAACACCCTGACAAGCTGTTCTCCTGGGAGGCACGGCGCAAGGGCACAGCAGGAACATCTCACTAGTTATATTAGTAAATTAAAAGCACTTGGAGATGACTTGGTAGAGCTCCCAGGAAACAGGCGCTGCCCTGTTTTACAGGATGCGGTCAAGTGCTCAATTGCATGAGCTGGGGCCACATGTGAAGCAATTTTTAAATGAATGTTGACAGTATGCAAAGACCTCTTGAATCCCTCTGACTGTAGGTCTCCCCTAATCCATTTGTGCAGTGACTTGGGCCAACACATACCAACATGGAAGCCTAAGCAAGAGGGGTGATTCTGCCTTGACTCCCAGTGCAGCACCCTTCTCTGAGTGTTCTCAAGTCTCTCAGCACAGCCTGTGACAGCCCTGGGCATCGTGGCCCTCACTGCTGTGCTGCCTTGGGAGCCAGGTAACACACACGTTACCTGAGAGAGATATTTAAGGGCATTTCAGGGCATCCAGTGCCTGTTGCTGCCCTGTGCCTGTTGCTTCCTGCACCTTGCTGGGAGGGATGAAGGTGCATGACAGGGGCCTGGGCTCTGCTGGGCTGCAGCACCTTGTTCAGGAGCATGTTCCCCACTCCCTCCATAGAGGAACGTGTGGAAATGCTCATCAAAAGAGCGAGATGGCTCCAGAATGCAACTCCAAGACTGCTCCCAGCCCAGCCATTACTTTCTCCCAGCTGTCTCAACCCTCTCTGCCAGAATGCACCATTTATTTTACAAACCAGCTCTCAGGACAGGCTGCAGTGCAGGCAGCACATGCTGAAAGCAGCTTGGAAGAGCAAGGCTCTAACTCAGAGTCCATAGAAAACACCACCCTGGCACATCAGCACGCTGGGGCTCTCTGCCAGGGCAGAGCTGAGAGCATCAATGGACAAGCTGCCTTCAGCTGCCAGAGCACAGATGTTCTAATGATAACTGGCTGCATGGCAATCTCAATCCACAGCACATTTCACCAGGTGGAGCAACCGGAAAAATCCACTACTGCATTATATCACCTAGGTATGTGATCTTTTACAGATAAGGGGGTGTAAGTCCCAAAGATATGAGTTAGGGAGTGGCATAAAAGGAGCCACACTTGACAGACTCAGTTCCAACAACATGGTGAGAGATATTTGGTCTTTTACCTGGAACTGGAGGGGAATGTGAGCAGAATAAAGAGTGATGTTGGCATTGGGAGCATAGCAACATCAAGGTGAAACCAAAGGGGATTACTTTGTTTTAATGCACAAGACTTGTACTGTCAAAAGACCTTATTTTTGCCATCACAATTTGTTGAAATTATCCTGGACTGGAAGATCCCCTTGAAAAATCAAGAGCTTTTTCTTGCTTTTCATATCCCAGGCCAATGGTGTGGCACCTCTTGGTCTCCACACTGTGCTGTATAATGTCTGGTGACAGACTCAGGGGAAAGGAGATGAGAGTTGGAGATATGGATCAGCTTTCACGTGGAACATAAGTGCAAAGAGAATTTCCCTATTCCAGAAGCACTGAAACAGCCAGAGAGATACCTTGCTTCACAGCATTAACCATGTCCTTTTAATTAACACGGAAAATACCTGTGCACTGGAAGAACTAAGCTGAAGCATGTCAAAGGGACAAGTCCTTGCCTGATCTGTGTGTGCCAAGGGTGACCACTCTGGTTTTTGTTCTATTTTGCTATCTCCAAGTGCTCCTGAAATATCACAACACTCCTTTGGAAATCAGCTTTTCCAAGCTGTGTTCTTCGCCCTGCTGTCCCCAGGGGCAGGTGCTGTGTTCTCCTAAGGGCTGATTTCACAGACACACCAAAGAGTGGCCTCCAAGCAGTTACACTGGGCACAGGAGTGTGGGATGAAGGCTCCTGGGGACAGCAGGCTCTGGGAGAGCCCTACATGTGCGTTCACAAGGGTGCCTGGCTGCCAGACGATGCCATTCTTCTGGAGGAAGGCGCTGCCCCGGGCTGTTTGCTCAGTGAAAGGGCCAGGGTCACTGACAGATCCCATCATTTCGCTGCAGTGCAACCCTGTTGACATCTCTTTACTCCGGGGGAAAATCTGCCTCATTGTCTTCCCTGACCCTCAGCACATATGACTTAGCCACGCACTAATTATCTCCTGTAGTGCCAGTGGAGGGATAAGCCACGGGGAATATGCTGTCTGCAAGCTCAGAGGGATAGGATTCACAAGGAGACCTTCAGCCTGGCCAAAAGAAGATCCCCCAAAATACCTTTCTGGCCAAGAGAAAAGAGTCCCCCAGAGGGCAGTTTGGAGGGATGAGTAAATCACCCTCTTCGGTGCCAATCTCCAGACTACAATGGGAAACAAGGAGATCAGCCCTTGGCCAGGACCTACACAAAGATCCTGGCAAATTCTGGCTGGGAAGGGTGTCCTCATCGGCTGTAATTTAGACATCTAAATGTGAGCTCAGGCCCTGAGGCCTCCAGTGCAGTGAGAGGAGAAGAAACAGGCCCTGCATCTGAGCCAAGGAGGAACTTCCCATGACAGCACTCATGTTCCCACCAGCACTTTGGTCAAGCTTGAATCATTCTTCCCCTCTTACCTACTGCCAAGTGGAAATGGGGCCATCTCCCCAGGTCATCTCCTCACCAGGCCATTCATGTCAGAGCATGGGATCAGGAGAGCAGCTGCCATCAGCTGCCCCCTTGACACCTACACTGAGGACTCTGTGCTCCCCTGGGTGAGTCCAGCCACTTCTGCATCATTCTGGACAAGAATAGCTCCAGGATTACTACTGTTGTAGTGGTTTATTAGTCTTCTAAAAATAGGGCAACTAACACATAAGTAACAAAGAAGTCAAGGAATGAGGTGAATGAACAGAAATTGGAGACTACCCTATATGTAGCCCCAAAATTGTCAATGAAGAGCACTGCACATAGTAAACACACCTGGAACCCTAGGAAAAGGAAATTCCCAAACATGACCCTTGCAAAGGACACACTGGATGCCCTGCTGTGGTCACCCATTAACTCCATTCCCCTCTGTTTGCACGGAGAGCCAGCAGCAGGAAGTACAGTGGCACTGATGAGAGCAGGAGTGCCAGCAATTGCTGCTGCATCCTGCCAGAGATTTAATTGGTGCCTATGTGCTGCCCTGGCACTCTCACCGAGCTGCATTCGCCCTGAAAGAGCAGGTTAATGATTGGCAAGAAGATTCAGGATATCCAGCTTGCAAACCACAAGTGCTGTCCAGCAGCCATCAAACACTGGGCAGCCCCACTGGGGCTCGGGGGGGACACGTCCATCATCCCCAGCACTCAGTGGGTTAATTCAGGCAGAGGGAATCACTGCAATGCAAAGGCAGTGTGGGGATGGTCATGGCAAAGCCGCTTTGTCCAGCAGGGCAGGAGCAGCCAGGAGCACTCTCTCCCTTGCACAGCCCCCCTGATCTCTTCCCTGCCCTCCAGCTGTGCTCAGCAGAGCTGGGCAGAGCTGGGCAGGGCAGCTGTGCTCGCAGTGCTTGAGGAAAACAAGTGTCCAATGCTGGCTGCTCTGTGCTCCAGAGCATCATCTGGCCAGCTCAGTATCAGCTACAGAAAGAACAAATGGGAAAGGAGACAGAAATGCCCTCAAGCAAAGCAATCAAATAAGAGGGGTAAAGACAGGAAAGTTTGGAGTTTT